AGAAAAACATATTGGCTTTTTCTTTTGTAACTCATCATCTTATAGCAGTTGGAATGATGGGTAATATTCATGATTGATTTGTATTTTATCTCAAGTTTTAAATAAAAGAAAATGCAAAAGAAAGATCAAATATTTCTCCACCTATGAAACAACACGTTTAAATTTTATTAAATGAAATCAGTCTATGGTAGACAATTAACTCAAAAGTGGAAGGATCATATGGGCCTATTTTCTTAGGAGAAAACAAAAAGTAAGTTAAAAGATTAATGAGTCACAGGGAGAGAATGAGAGATTAGAAGATGAAAAAAGAATTGAAAGAAAGAATGCAGCAGAGAGAGAGGGATTGAGAATTATTTGATGTGGAGAATGAGAGAGAAACAGTAAAAGTGTGAATGAGTGGGAGTAAGATCAAGGGAGTGAGGAATAGAGAGAAAGAAAATGTGGGTGAGAAATAAATAAATAAAGAAAGAAAATGTGAGTGTGAGTGAAAGAGAGGGCAAATGTGAATGATTGAGAGAGCAAGAAAGAGTGAGAGAGAAACAAAATTATGAGGGAAGAAGTGGGGTTGAAAAAATGAGTGAGAAAGAGAGAAAGAGAAAGTGCAAAAAATTAAGAGAGATTAAAATAAGGAGGAAAAAGCAATAGGTATCAGAAGAATACTGAATATTAGGAAAGATAAAAGTGGAGAAAGGAAACAAGAAAAATAAGGACAAAAGTGATGAAAGAGTATGAGGAAATAGAGAAAGTGAGAGAAAAATAAAAAAGGATACAAGAAGATAAAGAGAGTAAGTCAGAATTTAAAAAAATGTCTAGACAGAATGTAAAAGTTTGATTCAAGTAATAATTTGATTGGAAAAATTGGTGAGGAGCAAAAAATCAGTCATATTCCAATGTTTCAATTTAAAATCCTACATTCTGAGCATTGCAACATGGTTGATATTTTAAATGCATGCATTCAGTGGAATGAAAGTGTTTGATTGAAGAATTTGAAGGTGAGTAGAAAGAGAAAGGATAATATTCAAATAGGGAATAAAAAGGAACAGCGATATAATGATAAAGAAAAAGAAGAGGCAGAAAGAGAAAATGGAATACTTGATATTAAAGGGTTAATAAGAAAGAATGGTATCAAAAAATTTCTGAGAGAGAAAAGAAGCATATTGACTAATCCAAAAGGTAGGAGAAATAGTCAAGAACAAAGAGATCAGAAGAAAAAGAAATGGTGTTTTTTGGATGGAGTATAAAAAGAAAAATGTTAGGAAGTATGGAAAACATGATATGAAAAGAAAAGGGAATAGAAAAAGGAAAAGGAATAAAGTAAGATTTAAAAAGGAAGTTAGGGAGATTAAAAAGAAAAGATAGAAAAGAAAGAGAAAAAGAAAGAATAAAAAATATAGGAAGACAGCAAAGTGAAAAGGGGATAAAAAAGAAAAGACTAGAAAAGAAAGAGGAAAAGGAAAGTGAAAATGGAGGTGAACAGATGGAAAAGGAAAAAATAATGAGATTTAATAGAAATAGAAAAATACAAAAAAGGGATGTGAAGAAAGCTAAAAGAAAAGCAAGAGAAAAAAGAAAAGAGAGAAAGAAAGGCAAGAAAAAAAATTAAGGTGAAAAAAAAAGACAAATCATGATAAAGAGCAGCAGGAGGGAAAATGTGAGGCAGAAAGCCCAAAAGAAAACAACAAAAGTGGGATTGTAAAAAGTGACAACACTTCAAAAAGGATGGAGGGTTTTTTTCCCCATCTGTACAACTACAAAGAATTAACCACAAACTTGCACTGACAATATTGTTGTTTTTGCTGCCTGACAATGGTGGTAGGAGTATGAGGAGAGTAGATATAATTCAAGAAGAGAAAAGAAATAATAAAAAATAGCAAACAAATTGAGCCCCTCCATTTTGCTTCCAGGTCTCACTACTGCCAACTACAACCCATACTCAAAATTCCATAAATCACAATTCTTCCCTCCTGAAACACAAGGAAAAAAGTCCTTCAAAACAAAACAAGAAAGACAGAATAAGTCTTTTTACATTCCTTCAAATGTCTTTTTCTTTCTTATTCCTACTCTCTCCCTAAGCCTGCTTCTTTTTTGTCCTCTTTTAACTTTCTCTCCATGCTCTCTCTCTCTACTATCTCCTTCTCTTTTTATTGCTCTTTTTCTATCTGTTTCTTTATATTCTCACCATCTCTTTCTCTTTTTACATTCTATCTCTTCCTACTCTAACACTTTCCTACCTATTATATTTTCTACTTTGCTTTTGATTCTCTTTTTTACCACTCACATTTTTATGTACTCGCCTTTTCTTCTTTGTTTCTTTCACATTCATTTCCTTTCTCTTTGCTCTCTCATCCAAGCCATTCCTTTCTTTCCATCTCCATTTTTTACTTTCTTTGTTTCACCCTTTTGTAACAATATCCCTTTCTTTTCCTTTCTTTCATTCTCCCAATTTATTTCTTCTAGTATTATCACTCTGTCTCCTTCAGATCCAGATCCTATCGCTTGATGATCTTTCCTTTCTCTCTTTTTCTATTGCTATTTATCCTCCTTCTCCTTTCATCCTTACACATAGATACCCTCCTAACTCCTCAGCAACATCTTTGTGAGTCATAATCAGAATTTTCAGAAAGAATCACCACAGAAGTCATGTGGTATAGGGGAGGAATTGATAAAAATTAACCAGTGCTTTTGTTGTAGCACAAGAAAGAAAAGAAAAAATGACAGTGGACTGCAAATAGTGAGAGGAAAAGAAGTATGTCTACATAGGGGTCAGAAGAAGCAGGGTTCAGTGAGACTTTTCAAATGTGTAGGGACTGGGGTGGGAGATTGATTGAAAAGGGCAGAAGACTAACCTGATAGAAATAAGCAAAGTTGGTCGCGAAAAGAAACTGATGCATTTGAGGTCTACACTAGTTAAATTCCTTGGAATTTACTGGATCCAGTTTGCCACTGGTTACTTCAATAGTTGGAACACATGGTTGGAAATTGCAAAGCCTACACCAGGAAGCAAGAAAGGAGGAGTGGGGCATTAAACTGTAGTTTATTAGGATAACAGGTTTACTTATTTTTAGCAAATAAAACCTTATGTCCTTTTGAAAAGTGCTTAATTCCATGAATTATTCAAGCTAATATCTTCATTTTTCTTATTTTTATTACTGTGTTTCGATAAATTCTCTATTTTGCTGTTTTATCAAAATTTCTGTATTATTTAGTTTCAGAATATTTCAACCAGTGCATTCTCCAGCCTTTCTTGTCACTTTAGTTTTCTTAGTTGACCCTTACTACTGAGTATAAGTTTGATGCTTATTGGATGCACCATACAAAATTTGACATAACATAACTCATCAAGGGTTGACATTGAAAAATTGACCAAACTAACCTAAAGTAATTTGCAATGCATTTTCGTAGTAAAATCATTTCCATTGAAGTTACATATTAAAATCATTTCCAGGGACCTCATTGTTGGATAATAGTTTGTGAGGTTAGTCTGTTTGACTATTACTACTGAGTAGTGAGTTTGATCCTCATTGGGTGTCTCATACAAAATTTTACATTAAATAACTCCACAATGTCATAAAATCAATCAACATAATCTAACAAACTTTATTCCTATTATGTAAAACCCTGAATTATTAAGAACACTATCCAATACTATACCAATCTTTATTGTTTTAGTTACTAGTTTTCAACAATTACCTTTTCCATCTAACTTATTAATACACATAGGGACACTCAGTGAAGATCAAACTTAATTCAGTAGTGATACAATGCAAAACTAGCTTGCTATCTACTGTACCACAATGAAAAAAGCTGAGCTTTTATCATTGGTGTTTTGCAGTCTGAATTAAGGTTATTATTCCTGGAATTTACCAAAATAGTATCTCCATCTTTGTTGATTTCAGCCTAATGTTTTAACTTTGTTCTTATCCAGCTTTCTTTAAATGTATTTTGTTGTGTCAACCATAACCTCTCTTGCTCAAATCTATAAATTGTTAGAATTGTGATGACTTAAATTTAGCAAAAAAGATTACTAGATACAGCCTTCACCTGAGTAAGGTCAGTGAATCTAATGACTAAAGTATTGTTTTCAAAACAGTCCCAATGAGGATACTCATTTTACACCTTCTTGGAATTATGTTAGTGCATCATCTCAGAACTTCAGGCAATATTTGGAAAGAATAAAGTCTTCTATTTAAAAAAAACAAAAATATTGAATATAAAAAGAGTATTGGAAAGTTTTTGAATATTTTTAGACAAAGTGTAACCATTGTATATTAGTTCCTTTTGGACTAATTTTCACAAACAGCCTTTCTTGGATGTCTACCTAATATTGAAATATGAAAACTTGATCTAAATAGTTATGATTTCCCACCCACTCTATACATAATTCTTACAAGTATATGCTTGACACTGCTATATCACATAACAGAACTCATGCATGTGTTGAATTCATAGCCTTTCAGTGAACCAAATAAATTTCATCAGCATCCCTACTTTTAAATCATTTTCTAGTCAACACTTAGGGGTTTTTGGAACCTCAAATTTATTTAATTATTTTTTAAAATTTAATCAGGGGTTCCTAAATGCTATTAATATCTGTATTTTGTTGCCCTCTTGACTGCAAAGGTGTCGGACACTTCTATTCTATCAAAAGAGGCCACCTTACAGGTGGATACTTACAAACTTAGGTAAAACCCCAACCTACCATTTGTAACTTTTTCACTCTTTCAGAAACCAGATATTTATCTACCTCTTTTACTCTAGCTTAAACTGGAACTATATGTGCATATCTAGTAATTCAATATGATTTTTGTTCTATAAGACATATCTGACATTGGATAACACATTTCCTTAAATTAACCAACTTAGCATAAATGATACTTAGTTTCTTCATTGGATGATTTTAGCTTAATATGTATTTTTGTTGCATTTAAATGTTTGATTTTTCAGTGTTTTTTTTTTTATGTTTATTATTTAAGATTTAGTTCACAGGACTGAGTGTGTATCTTCTCTCTCTCAATACATAATCAAGTAAACATGATATTAAGGTCTTTCTATGGATTAAATCTTTTTGATATTCATCAAATATTATTTTTAGTTTGTGGCTGATCTTAACTTTGGAAATGAAATTATGAATCCCATCAGTTTCTGTGAATAGTTGACAGGTTTACTAAACTAAAAAACCAACTGTCAAGCAATTATAAACCTCTGGCCTTACAAACCATTGTATGAGGTTTAATTTCTCACAGGATAATCCATGAACCTTGCTGTGTTCTAATGTTTGATCACTCCAAAATAATATTGGCCATATTAAGCCAAATGCCTGTAATTATTTTCATTTGAATTAGTAAATGTTGTTTTATATATATATATATATATATATATATATATATATATATATATATATATATATATATATGTATGTAATCATACATATAAAAACTTGTGTGACTAGACATCCAATTGCTTCAAGCTGGGATCAAATCCCCACCAATTTGGCATAAGTCAGAGATCCCACCCTGCTATTATTGGTGCACAGCAGGGAAATTTTAACATATTATATGTGGATGTATATATATATATATATATATATATATATATATATATATGGATGGATGCATGCAGATGCATCAGTAAGTCCAAATTTGACACATCAACTAAATTTTGATATAAAATTTTCACTCTATAATGTTTGACCTATATGATTAATGGTGAAGTGTAATTTAAATGATTTTAGTCTGAAGTTAATGTTAAATACTATGATTAGCCTAAAAAAAATATATATATATATATATATATATATATATATATATATATATATATACACATACACACATATACATTTATATATATATATATATATATATATATAGGCAGCTAGAATTTTTTTAAAACAAGTTTTGTTGAACAGTACTGACAAAGTATGTCTATTTTTTATTATTTTTTTCCAAATTTCCACTAAATTGTTTTATGTCAGAATTAAAATTGGTAAACTTACCAAAGTTCATTTCAATGTTCTTTCATAGGAAGAGAAATCAAAACATTGAAGGATAAGATTAAATATCTCCAAGTAGAAATAAATAAAATTGACAACAACCTGAAATCTTCTACTACTTCTGAAAACTATGAGGAAATACTAAATCATATTTCTGATATAACTAAAAAGAAACACATAAAACATAAAATAATAATTAATAAGAAACTGAATAATTTATATAAAGGCAAAATATATCTCCCTAATTCTTCTCTCAACTTTATTAATCTTTTGGACTCCCAGCTCACTAAAGAGTAAATGGAATTACTTAACCTTGTACTAAACTGCCACCTTTATTTCACTTTTGATAATAATATAACAAAGCAGAGACTAAAATATTCCACAAACAAATTTTAGAATTATAAGATAACAAAATCGTCATAATTCATCCTGGATTAAAAACATTACTTAAAGTTGAAAACATAAAAAGAGAGTGCCAACTTTTAAACAAAGAATTAAAAAAGGCCTATAAAGAACATATTATAATTAGGAACAGTGATAATTTTGTCATGGGACTATCACAAAATACTTGATTCCATTGTCAATAATAGAGCCAAATTTAGGAAATTAAAGAAAGAAAACAACTAGCCTTCTTAAGACACAAATAAGCTGATTAATTACAACTAATAGCACAGAAATAGGATCAATGCAACTTAACAAAATTGTGGGTGAGTATCATCCTGGCTAATTCTATGGAAATGTTAAAATCCATGAATCAAAATTACTGCTACATACCATAATTTCTCAAATCCTACTCCTGTATATAACTTATTTAAAACTCTAAACAAACAGATCAAGCCACATTGTTCTATGTGCTATGGGCCTTCAAGATATTAGGGATTATGGCTCTCTACAGTTTCCTCTCCTTTGTAGCTTATAATAACTTTTTTCTTTTCTCCATCTCTACCAAACCCTGTTCCACCATCCATTGACTAAACCTTGCCAGGTAGGTTATACATTGCTTTCCTTTGTTTCTTTTACCTTCACTCTGTCCTGTTAGTGTCAAGTTTTCCAAGCTTTTTTTATTCATTCTGAGACCCAGAAATTTCAACTATCTCTTCTTGATGTTAAGTTCAAGTGTCCTTTTTTTTGTCATTGTCTCTAGAACTTTGTTGCTGCTCATATGTTCAGTTCATGATATTCTCACCATTTTTCTGTAGAACCGTGATTTTGTTACTTCAAGTCTCTTCCTTATCCGTGAGGAGATTGTCCAGCATTCACTGACATTTAGGAGAACTGATATTATGTAACAGTTCAATACTTGCCCAAAATTTAGACTTATTTGTATGCATATCTAGCCATATTTCTTGTACATTGTCTTAAAAAAAACCCATGGTAATTAGAGTAGTTAATTTTCTGCTTGATTTATTACTTGATAGGAGACATTGCAACTTATACTAAGTTAAAAACTTAATACAATATAATCTAATGACCATTCCCAACTGTATCCTTACCAAAATACATGCATTTGA